ACAATTGCAAATGCAGCCTCAACACCTCTTCTAGTCAGCAACCTGAGATCATCTATCATATTATCTGAAATCTGAAGGAAGAAAAGAGCAATGAAAACATTCACTGGTGCACGGAGGCGTAGGATAAAGTATTAAAACCCTCTTGGCTTAGCAGGATTAGTCTCTGTTGTCTGTCTGATAATACCTTTGTGAGCACCAATCAACTGCTGTTGTAAAATTAACAGGCTCCACTAAACTCAGTTCATTAAATGCCAAGACCATTATATATTAACTTTAAACATAATAATTATAGTAAAAAGAAACAAATTTAGATCACTAAATCCAGTTTTGTAGACGTAACTTTGTATAATTTAATCAATGCTTTTAATTTAAACTTAACAGATGATAACAGAATGTTAAATATGCTAGTATAATTAATTTTACTGAGTTGCAATAACAATATTGGACTGTCGAAATTTAATATACTTATTCTTTAGTAATACGGTGTAGTTAGGGAAAATAGTTTACATAATTGTGTTGATATCATTTAAACAAATTAAAAATGTTTAGATAATTGCTCTTTATCAAAATTGTAGGCTTAATAACAGCCCTGAGGATAAGGATCAGTAACTTGGTTCCTATTGAAGCCAAGAGGCAAGTTGATTTAACAGTATTCCATCTCCCTCATGGTGCACAAAGGATAAAAAAAACAAAAACAAAAAAAAACTGCTTCCTTATGTAGGAGGCAACTGTGCACAATATTACCGTACTTATTTTAAAAGATCATAAATAGTTGTTGAAAATGTTTTGATTAAAAAATGTTTTGTTCTTTTGCAACACCAGATGTTTTTTTTTTTTTTTTCAAAATTAGCATCTTGAAGGACAACTGTTTACTATTGCACTCTGTACTGCATTACTGGATTCCTGTACTAAACTGAAACATTTTGTAACACACTTTGAAACACTTTACTAACCTGAAACACTTCAGGGAAATTCTTCTAAGTTGTGCAATGCTTCTAAAGTTGAATATTTCCTGTTCAAGATTCTGTCAGAAAAAATATTTATACATTTTTTGAATCTGCAAGTAACGTACTGATTATGTAGTTCAGAGTCACCATTAAAATTTAAAGGATAAACAACAGTTTACAAGAGCTAAATAAAAATTATACATATATTAAACTTGATAGTGTAGTGCTTTGTTAATGACTCTTTAATAAAAAAAAAAACATGGTTTTAAATAATTAATAATAATATAGTATAATATTATTATATAATAATAAATAATATCTTATATAGCTATAATGGTGATACATTCAATTAAATCCCAATTAATCCATCTTCTCCCATTTAATCTACCAGAGTGGCAGTCTGGGTGGTGCCTTTCTCCACCAATCTATAGAGATTTGCCTATAGACACCTTAGACAGGTTGCCAGTCTGTTGCAGGGCATCAATTCAAAAATGTTTATTTATATAAAGCAAATTCATGACACATGTCATTTCAAGGCACATTACAGAGACAATGTAATCAGTATATTGAATAATATTGAAAAAAAAAAATGAAAAAAAAATATTTATCTGTATTTTAAACAAGCTGATTGTATCGAGTCATTGATTCTGTAGAACTTGCTCCTCCTGGATGAGCATGTGGCGACAGTAGATATTTGCTTGCATTTTGTTGTTGAGAATACAGCAATCCCTCACACAGGGATTGGGCATGGGGCGACAGTGGACAGGAAAAACACACTTTTAAGAGAATAAAAATCCAGCAGAACCAAGCTGAGTGAGCTGCCTTCTGACGATTAACTATGGCTGGAGGTTCAAGGAGACAGAAGCAGACATAAGAGAAATATAGAAGCACCATAAATACTTTTATGTTAGAAAAGGTATCAGTAAACTAGCTCCTCAGGTGGCTCTGTCTAGGTAAGAAACAATTAAACAGAAAAACTGAGACAGTTTTCATGTCACAGGAATAAAAGGGAGCACATACAGTTAGTCACAGTAAAAACTGAACCACTACCAAGGTTTAGGAGTAGGAGAGAAAAAGCACTAACTACTGAAAAAAAAAAAACCAGGCCCAACTATGTCATCTATAATCAAGATGTTATAATCAAGCCCACATGATATTTCTCTCTAGGATGGTATCACAGCTAAATTTAGGGGTTGAACTAACAAATACCTCAAAATGGGAGAGTAGAGGAAGAATGAAGCCTAGAACACACAAAGTCCCCTTGTCCTCCAGCAGGATAAGCCTAGAAAACATCAAAATTCATTTCAAGAACTTTCTGTTTAGCCTTACCACTGATTCCATTTATATGTAGAAGCATTTTGTGTCGTTTTAAATAACTAGTGAACATTACAAAACAAAAACATAAGCTTTAATATGTGATCTCCACTGGAAAAGAAAAAAATGACTGTGTTACAGTAGGTGTTCATTTAGACCAGTACATTGAAAGGGGCATTCCCCACACTCTCAGTGGCTTACATTGTAAATGAAGGAATTACAAAAACAAAGTCATTGTATGCAAAATCAGACTTTCTGGTGCCAGAGCTACAAGCAACAGCAATGAATGGAAACTGTCTATTAGACATAGTGGTGTCAGCAGTTCAGACTGTCTCCTGTTAGGAGTTATCAGATGCTTTTGACCTTTTATTTATTTTCTCTTCCTGTCACAAGTACAGTAGTTATCTATAAATGCAAAAACTTTCTTTCTTCTTGAATTAAATATGAGACATGAAATAATATTAGACCTTCCACTGACTTAACTTCAACCCCTCAATGCCTTTAGGCACTTAAAATTTATGAAAATTTTTTACATGACGTCAAACTCAACTCAACTCAAACTTTATTTATAAAGCACATTTAAACAACTGGGGTTGCCCAAAGTGCTGTACAGATATCACAGTTGTAGGAAATAGGGTAAAAACATAAAAGCTAAAATACATAAACACAATGCAATAAATTAGAATGAAAATGAAATAAAATACAATAAGTTTATATTTAAGTATAAATGTAAAAAAAAGAATTTGCCAGATGTCCACTTAGACTTTATTAAAAGCCAGGGAAAAGAAGTGTGTTTTTAGGGAGGATTTAAAAACCTCAAAAGATCCTGCAGATCGAATGTGCCAGGGCAGATTGTTCCAGAGCCTCGGTGCCTCTGTCACAAAGGCAGCGTCACCTTTGGTTTTAGTCTGGTTTTAGACGTTGTCAGTAGCAGTTGATTGGAGGATATCAGTGTTCTGGCAGGGCAATGGATTTAGAGGAGCTCAGTCAGATACTGGGGGGCTAGGCCTTTAAAAACAAACAATAAAATTGATTCTAAAAACAACTGGGAGCCAGTGCAGCGAATCTACAGTAGGACGGGTGATATGTGGTCACGTTTACATGTGCCAGTAAGGAGACGGGCAGCTGCATTTTGTACCAGCTGCAGGCGGTCCAATCTCCTATAAATAAAAGCATGCATTACAGTCTCCAGATCTCTGCGTGGCAGGTACCCTTTGACTTTTGACAAAATTCTTCACTGGTAAAAGCAGTTTTTTACGACCAAACTAATCCTGGCCATCGAATTCCAACCTGTCATCAAGTGCTACACCAAGATATTTTACTGACACTGAACATCAAAAATCAAAAGAAGGGGATTTAAGGGACTTTGAATTGATTCAACTCTTGATGCCAGATGGGTTGGGCTGAGTAATCTCCGAAACTGGTCATCTCCTGGAATTTCCATGCTCACTCCTCTGGACAAAAATATGCTATGGCAGATTATGTTAGAGGCCATAGAAGAATGGGAATATTTAGAAAATGAGTTACCTGTTCCCCAATAGGCTATAGATTCACTTGATTTCAATCCAAAAGAACACCTCTTGGGAGAGGTTTAATAAGTAATTTTCATCAATCTATTTTCTGGCCAATTATAGCCTCAGTGTTCTGAATGAAAGGGTGGTACCCTAGACCAGGGCACTGACAGAGATACATTTATTTTGTTCGGGTTGCCAGAGGGGACAAGGATATCTTAGGTGATCCTCAGACATGATAATGCATTTTTTTTTCTTAATAATTTGTTATTACAGTTTCTAATAAATCTTAAATTTTACTTTTAATTACATGTCAAGCATAAAGATGATAAAATATGTGTTTTTATTTGCCATTTATAAAAAAATGTAACAAAAATAAAAATCTAAAACTCAATTAGGAGTTTGTCAGCAAGAGAATGTGTTCATGAACTGGTGATTTAATAGTTTAAAACCAGAGAAGTAAATTAACATGTCATTTAGCCTTTTACAGTAAACAGTCACTCTAGAGAGTAAAACTGACATTTAGGAGTTAATTTCTAAAAATATATTTTACGTTTCTCTCTTCTTATCAGGGAGGGCGGTGCCCCAGCGCCCCCTATGGGCCAGCCGCCACTGGTCCTCATGCTTGGCTGGCTCGGTCCCTCACACCTTGGAAAAGGGATAATTTTTCATATATAGATCATCTTTTAAATCTAAATACAAACCAACCTTTGAAATATGGTCAGATAAAAACATTCCACATGCATTTATATTTATATGAATAGATTGCAGTGTATCTAGAATTGGAACATATGCAAATTTGTCTGTAACAACCACTTGATCATAAGTTCCAATACATCTATTTCTTCTATTTTCCAACAGGTTGAAGACAGAAACCTCAACAGGTTCAACAATCTTCCACTTCTCTTTAAAATATGCATTTCGTCAGTATGAATAAAGGTTTAGAAAATGTCCTTTTTTGCTTCATTTTTGTATAAAAATGATCACTGCAAGTGAATAACATTCAACCATAAAACTCTAGTTGAAAAAAAATTGTAGCCTTTTGAGTCATACATGGAGAAAAAAAACAGAAGCGTTGACGTTATTCCTGACACACATAGTAAACCTTTTGTCTAAAGTTCTCATGCCAACCTAGAAGTTTTCCAGTTATGTGAGTCTCTAAGAGACAACACTCGAAGACATTCTGTTCTTTAAATAACTCAAATAAAAGGAGAGATTTATGTTCAGCATGACAGACAGCGTGAGCAGGAAATATGTGTTTGTTTGTTTAGATAAACTTTACTTCTTGATAACTTTACAAGTAAAAGTTTATTGAGGTGTGCATTTCAGTCATACTAAATACTATTATTTTAAATCCTTCAAGACTAAAGTAATACACATTAACACTGAGCCTAAGAAGACACAAAATATTGTTAATAGATATTAAAATATATATCAAGCCAAGAAAAACAATCATTTCTAAATAATGAAGTAAACCCATCTTGCATACAACAGAGAGCATACCTGACAGAAATAAACAGTATGTATTAATATAATTGTCTACTTGGTTTTCAGTCTTGCCTTTTCTCCCAAGGTTGATCAGTGACTTATAAGGCTTACATATGCCTTATGTAGGGTAGCACAAAAATGCACTCATTATGATAAGAAAGACAAAAGAGCATGACTATACAATAAATTCATGAAAAGATATTGATTTAGGAAAAAGTGCATGTGAAATGTCAGAAATGTACTGAATTTTTTGCATTCGACTACATGGCACTTCTAGATGCTATCTTTGGCATTTGGACAGATCCCACAGAGGGTTCCATTGTCTCTTCTAAAGGTGTTTGGCGGTGCGTGACTATAATGTACACATCATGAGATTTTATTCAACAGGTGCTGCAGGAATATCAGGTTCTGCCATGACTTGTAGATAATCATACAGCTTACAGGTTTTCCATATAAAAGTAGTACAACACAGTGCAGAGCAGCGTCAGCTTGTAAAGCAGAATTGTAACTTTAAAGTAGGGCATGCATTCATACTTAATCAAGCTAGTAATTTTGGGGGTTATGACACCCCCCACCCAGAAGTATGATCCATTCAATCAGACCCCCATCACTACCACCAAAGAAAATCACATTGCTGGGATTTCCATTAATGTCATACTGGTTTTATTCTATATTTTTATTTTTCATCTAAATTTTAATCATCTGATAATGTAACACCGAACTCCTCACCAACCTCTAGCTGACTAAACCAGCTGCTTTTTCCACCTAGTGTTCATGGTTTGCTGTAGGCCTGCCATAGATTCCCTAGCTGGCAGGAGTTAATGTAAAGATGCATGAGTGACAAAAATGTACACATAATTTTTCATAGTTGGTGATTTTCGTCTCTTTGTAAAAACAGACAAAAAATCATACTAATCTAGGTCATCTAATGATTTGCATGTGCCACATGCACATGCCTGTATGCACGCCAACTCCGAATGCCTCTGCATGTGTTTTGGTTGACTCCAAGGTTCAGGAGTAAAGACCTTTCATAGACCACTGCACCCAACATGACAATTGGTCAAAAAAAAAAAGAGGAATAAAAATGTTATTTTCTCACATGCAGCACATGCAGCAATACAACAGTGCAACCAAGACCACTACCTGAGGCAGGCAGAAGCCTCAATGTTAGGGTGACCAAACGTCCGTATTTCCCGGGACATATCCGTATTTCACGTCCTGTCCCGGGCGTCCCGGGATTTTTTTAGAAAGTGAGGAAATGTCCTGATTTCACTGCGCACGACGCTCCGTGTGACGTAATCCCTGAGCCGCGTCAGTGCAGGCAGCCCTGCTCTTAATCAGAGGCTCTGTTCGAAAACCTGGGCTGCATCCTCCAAGGACGCGGTCTACCTAGACTGGATCCTTCGAAGTCCTTGAAAATAAGGAGGCCGGAAGAGTTTTGGCTGTAAATTCGAACAGGTCCTCCCTTCGGCGGGTTTTACCAGCGTATGCTCTGTTGCTTAGCAACCGTGAAAGTTGACACACAAAGCAGGAAAATAATGAATACCGAGGTTTTCAAAACTGTTTGTTTATTTATTTATTTTTTTTAAAGTTAAAGCAAACAAAGACTACACTCACAAGAATCCAGAGTGGAATAAATGTTCCAACCACCGGCAGCAGGAACAAATAAAATCAAATGTAAATATCCATTACTGTAAAAATGTCCATATCTGCATATTGGTTATTAATTTTACAGTTTTATATTGTTAAAACACTTTACAGTATTTTATTGTTTATATTTTAACTCTTAACTTCTTATACATTTTTCTAAGGTCCTCATTTGTGTGACTATTTTCAATAATCTTTCTGCTGCTGTAAATTTGCCCATTGTGGGACAATAAAGGGATTTTCTATACTATAAAAGGGTTAGAAATACATAAGTAAATCTAAACAATGTATGTATAAATGTGTATGTATATTAGAATCTGTCCTTAAATTACAGCCAAACCCATTTACACAGTAACAGATAAAAACCTTAGATAAATCAAACACTACCGCCACATATCTGCTCAGTAACCATTAAAACAACTATTTTCATTAATCTCAGACGGAACTATTCACAGAGTTGTATTATATTAAACTGAACTTCCAATTTTCACCACTGTTCTGCGCCAAGTAACCTTTCCTCTGATCACGGAGCAAATCCCGATGATGAGACATTTGTTCTTTCAATCAAAAAAACAAAACAAAAAAAAAAACAGGTGTCCTGGTTTTCCCAAATGAAAATATGGTCACCCTACTCAATGTGTCACTTCTGAAGAAGTCCAGAATGGCTGTTCATCTCAGAATCATCAGCTTACCTCATTCATTTACCATAAACTTTACACAGCCACTGCCTCGAACAGGGGAGACAGCTACTGTGGAGTCACTGGGAGAATTAGATTATTGGACATGGCCAAATAGGGACAGTTTGAAGTCAGCAGCATAACACATAACAGGTTAAGCTTTGGGGTCAGTCATTGTAAGCTCCAGCCAACCCCTCATTTTTACTCTGCAAGACATACAGTGATTTTTAGTAGCAAAAAGATAGAAGTACAAACATGTATCTCTTTGTTATGGAGCTCACAGAGAGATAAATGTTTGTTTTTATCTATCTATCTTTCTATCAAAAAGGTTGGGCCACTGCATGTTTTGTTTTTGCCAAGTCCTATTTCAGCTTTTTTGTGCTGCATACATTCTTTTCTTAATTACAATTTACCCAACCCTTTGCTTTGCTTCACTTCAAGTTAAAACAAAGAACACAAAGTGAACATTCATATGAAACTATGCATATTTAACTACTTCCTGTTTATCCGTGTTGATCTGGCTATTGTTTCTAGAGAAACACTGTCAGCTCGATTTTCTCGGTTTGAACCAAGATCAGTCATCTTACTGCCGGCTGATTAATGGCCTAAACATTGTAACCTTGGCCACACCTTATGCTGGCTGTGCTTAAAAGGAGAGAGGCTGAGCACCTGCTGCATCCAGCATCAGACTCCAGGTGAAGCACGTAAACTTCTCTAACATTGCTCCCATCTCTCTTCTTTAATTGATGTTTTGTTTCATAACCAAGACTAGAACATTTAACTCAAAAACAAAACTCTACTTTACTCTACCTAGATTCAGACTTTTTCAGGTCATAAGGTTCCCTGCAGAGGAGAAGCAACATGATTCCA